AACGGCGCTGATGGCTGAATCACTGACTCCGAGATATAAAAACAACATCTCCTCGGGTTTTGGTTTTTGTAAGGTCGGTGGAGAGGTGAGCTTTTCCTTGATGCTGATGAGGGCTTTTTGACATTCCTTGGACCATTCAAAACGCTTTCCTTTCTTGATTGCTTCGAAAAAAGGTTTACACCGATCTGTGGATTTTGAGATGAACCGGTTAAGTGCTGCAAGTCGGCCGGTTAGGGCCTGAACACCTTTGACCGAGGTTGGGGGAGTTAGATTTTGAATGGCTTTTATCTTGGCCGGGTTGGCTTCAATTCCACGTTGGCTGACCATATAGCCCAGAAATTTTCCAGATTCAACTCCGAAGGTGCACTTCTTGGGATTCAAAACCATAGAATAAGATCGGAGAATATTGAACATGTCCTGGAGGTGTGTTATATGATCAGAGGCGTGCACCGACTTGACGAGCATATCATCTACGTAAACTTCCATGGTATGACCGATTAAACTGGAAAACATCTTGTTAACAAGACGCTGATAAGTGGCCCCAGCGTGTTTTAATCCGAACGGCATCATGGTATAACAATATAGGCCCCTAGCTGAATAAAAAGAGGTGTGTTCCGAGTCTTCAGGATCCATAGGAATTTGATTATACCCGGAGTATGCGTCCATGAAGCTCATTAACTCGTGTCCCGATGTGGCATCAACCATATAATCTATGTGCGGGAGCGGGTAGCTGTCTTTCGGGCACGCCTTGTTCAAATCGAAAAAGTCGATACACAGTCTCCACAGACCATTACTTTTCTTGACGAGAACAGGGTTTGAGACCCATGTCGGATACTTGGCCTCTTTAATGAACTTTTTGTCGATGAGTTTCTTAACTTCCTCTTCCAATGCTTTCTGACGATCCGGCCCCAATTTCCTTCGTTTTTGAACAATAGGCCGGACAGTTCGATCGAGGTTCAACTTGTGACTAGCGACACCGGGGTCGATGCCCTTCATGTCTTCGTGTTTCCAAGCAAACACATCTGAATTTTGTTTGAGAAACGAAATGAGTTCTGACCGGAGAGGCTCTTGAAGGTGACTTCCAATGTGCAATGATTTGTGGAAGATCGGTTCATCGACATATATCAATTCTACTTCTTCTCCAGGTTCGGCTCGATCATTTCAGCTTTTTTCCTTGAATTGGGCCCTTGGGTCCAACTCATCCTCTTCGAGGAGTGGCTCCTTCCCTGGCCGCCTACCTCGGTCTTCAGATAAAGGGTCCGAGGTGGGAGGAACATCGGCGTTGTAATTCGGTTCCTCGGAAATCACATCATCCGAGGTGTTTCATTGTGGGGAATTGTCATCATTTCCCGAAGTGATGGAATAGACTCCGCTGGATGGTACGAAAGTGACAAGTTCTCGAGCTTCCCTTTGGTCTCCGAAATGAGTCCCTTCTCCTCGTGTAGTCGGGAACTTCAGTGCGTAGTGAAAGATCGAAACCGCAGCTCGAAGTTTGTACAACACTGTTCTGCCGATGATGGCATTATACTCGTTGTTGATGTCAAGAATTTTAAACGTTTCCATGACAAGTTTGGTGACGTTCTCCGAAGTGCCAAATCTGACAGGTAACGCGATCTCGCCAATGGGCTTTGAAATGCTGCCATTAAACCCCTGTATTTGGTCGTTACAAGGTCGGATGTCAGCAGGATCAAGACCCATTTTGTCAAAGGCTTTTAACATCAAAATGCTCGAGTAGGCCCCAGTGTCGACCATTACACGATGTACTGGGATTCCGCATATTGGGACAGTAATAACAAGTGCATCAGAATGAGGATGTGCGAAATGATTTGCATCCTCCATATTAAAAGTTATGGGACAATTCCTGTTATTGAGGATGTCTCTCAAATCGGTAGTGTACACTTGTTTACTGGAATTGTAAGCTTGTCGAGCGTAAGCTTTGATTTGTCGACGGGATAATGTACTTCGGGTGTTGTTAGTATTGACGCGGTGGACAGTTATTTGCATCGGGCTAGGAGATCTGCTTCGTTTGCGTCTTTGAGAGATTCCGGTTGAATTGGAATCGAGCATTTTCGAGGTGAACATAAATACTTCCTTGTCTCCTTGCTGGATACGCTTCGGCATAACACCTCGGTCCTCCTCGTCGTCATCATCATAAGATTCCATTTGACGCCCTGGGCCTCGTTTCTGAGGATCGGTGTTACGATAGAACTTTCTGAGCTGCGGATGACCGATTAGACGCAACAAAGCAGCTAACAAGCTTAAGCATTCATCAGTATTGTGCCCTGGCGATTTGTGATAATCGCAATATCGGGACTTGTCTAACTTCTCCTCGGGCATCCGAAGTGGCTTGGGATCCGGTAAAATACCTTTCCCTTTGATTTCTTCGTATATGGTGGCAGCCCGAGTTGAATATACGGTCTGATAACTGGATTTTACATCGGTGGCATACTGTTTCCGGGCTGCTCGTACTTCAAGATCGTTGGGATCTCCTCGGGGAGGCCCTCTGAACTGAGTCTTGTTCTGCTTTTCAAAAAACTTGTTTTTCTTTTTCTCTTCGGTTCCCGCCTTAGATGACTTCGGGTTAAAATTAAAGTCGGGGACCGACATGGCTTCCTCGGCTATGATGTGTTGCTGAGCTCGAGCAAGAAATTCTTGAAAGGTGTTTGGCTTATTTTGACACAATGTCCAGCGGAAAATCGAATTCGGTTTCAGCCCGGCAATAGCCATGACAAGCAGGGTTTCAGGATGACAAGGCTCCATATTCTTAACTCGGTCATTAAATCGGGCGATGTAATCCTTTACACTTTCATCATCTTTTTGAGTTACATTTGCAAGAGATTCTTTTGGAATTAGACAGACTTGGGCCCCGATGAAATGAGATCGGAAGGCCGACCTCAATTGTTGCCATTTCCAAATAGAGTGAGGAGGAAGAGAATGATACCATTTTTGGGCCCGAGGCCCCAGCGTGAGAGAAAACATACGACACCGAAGTGCGTCTGAGGCCCCATGCAGATCCATCCACGAAGTATAGTGACCGAGGTGTGAGTCGGGGTCTGAAGTTCCATCATATAACCCAATTTGAGGGACTTTAACTTTCCCCGGTACAGGTTCCGAAGTGAGCTCTGGTGTGAGAGGGGAGTCGGCTTCCAGATATACTTGAGCCGAAGTTGAGGCCCGCCGAGGGGGGTCTTCGGGTACCCGTTGCCGACTTTCCAGTTCGGCAATTCTTCGTCGTAATGTTTCAAGGTCGGATGATTCTTGACGAGCCTGATTCCTTTCAATGTGTTGCCGAAGGTCGGTCTGCGCCGGGTTGGAAGGGATTCGGTGTCGCGCATGAGGTGGCGCTCGTCGTGAATGTCCAGACTGACTTTCAGCAGTTTTTTCATGAGGAAGCACTTGGGGATTGCGTCCAACGTTGGTGCGACGCGTGGTTTGTTCCGGAGGCGGCTGCGACGCTCGACTGCGGGGTTGAGACGTGGCGTGAGATGTGGTCCTTCCGCCGTCTTGCCGTGCCGGTGGATTCTGCGGATTTGCAGGTGTTGTGGGTATTATGGAATGTCCTGGGGCAGTCGTTGATGCTCCAGGGATCGTTTGAGCCATCAAGGTAGCGAACCCACGTGCAAACTCCGGATTTTGGAACAAAACAGTGTAATCTGGTATATGGGGGGCTACGACTGGTCGTCGGGCGGATTGCGCAGCACTGCGACTGTGGCCATCTCGTGAAGTATGGCCACGATGATCAGAATGAGACATGATTGATATAGCTGATGTGGATCGCTTAAACACGAGTCGGATAGTAAACTCAAATCACTTATGAGGCCCTTCCTCTAGCGCCAAACTGTTGTCGTATGATTCTTGACATCGATTTAATACTGGATTTATGTGATAATTACGAATGGTTTGGACGTAAAATATGTGAGAAAGACTCAACAGTGGCCCCGGTCCGAGGTGGACCGAGGTGAAAAGCCTCTGTGGGCTGTTACGTGTTGCATTGTAAAATGTCGGGTCCGGAATCCCCCCGTACAGATATCACTAGCTAGCTATTTATAGTAACTTTTTTGATACATACATTGGGATCCGTGCATTGCTTTTTAGAAAATGCTACTTTTGATGGGCGGTCGAACTAGTGGGCCCTACGTGAATGATGATAAATCTCGTAATTTGTGATAGGAGTGTATAGACGCCTTGTCACCTGCTTTAGGAGGTGTTGACCTCGGCCCATGTTGACCTCGGTTTGGATTGACCTCGGCGGGTAGGGATCACTTCGGTCTTTTATGGTTGTACCGGTTTATCGTGCGAACCGGGATGACTTTAAGTTACGTCGGTGTTCGAGTCAAATTTGCTTATGGTGCTGTTCAAGGTCCTGAATTGTATCTTATCGAGTCAGATGATAACATCGTATTTGTTTTAGTTCAGACAAATTCTTGTATGAACACTAACCACCCGACCCAGTCTACTGTATTATTCTGGGTGCTATATCAAATAATATTATTTACACTTTAATGTAGAAAATGTATATTGATTATTCACTCATCAATGGCCTCGATGACTCGACGTTTGAGCCGATGACGTGGTGACCAAAGACGTGGTTCGATTGTTGGACGAATTTAAAAACAATGATTAAAATGGAGAATTATAAATTTGAAAACCACCACAATTTTTTAAATTAAAAATATTTAAAAAATAATTAACAACAACAATAATCGCTGGCCACCCAACCCATCTCCTTTTCACACGCACAACACAGTTGACGGAAAAAACGAAAAAAAAAATAATAAAGGTAGGAAAGGAAAATTTATAGATTATCACCACAATCCTAATCTCATCTTCCATGCCGTGTTCTTCCTCTGTACATATATGTCCGCCTTTTCTACCTTCTTCCATGTCTTCTTTCCCCTCCCTCTCTAGATTCATCCCCATTTCCTGAGAACATATTCTTCGTTCTCATCTGCCCTCCCAAACTTCTCGGTGGTTCATCCTTTTTTTTTTTTAATTGAGCCATGCGTAGAGGCAGAGCAGCGGCGGCCGATAACGGCGGCGAAGCTCGTGGATCTGGAGGATCCAAGGAGATCCGATACCGCGGTGTGAGGAAGAGGCCGTGGGGCAGATTTGCGGCCGAGATCAGGGACCCTTACAAGAAGACGCGTGTCTGGCTCGGCACCTTCGACTCGGCCGAGGATGCCGCTCGCGCCTACGACGCCGCCGCTCGCTCGTTCCGTGGTCCGAAGGCGAAGACGAACTTCCCCTCGCCCCTTGACGGCGCCGTATTCCCCGAATTGAACCCCCAAAACCCTAATCAGGCGCAAATCAACGCTACTGCTAACGATCGGTTCATGGATCCTGGGTATTACACCCAGGACCCGCAAATAATCGCGCACCAGCGGCCTACCTCTAGCGGCATGAGCAGCACCGTGGAGTCTTTCAGTGGGCCACGGCAACTTCGTTCCGTGCCGGCGCCGGTGCTTTTGCAGCAGCAGAGGAGGCATCCGCGCTCGCCGCCGATGGTTCCGGATGACTGCCGCAGCGACTGTGATTCCTCCTCATCCGTGGTTGATGATACCGAATGTGACATCGCATCTTCTTCTTGTAAAAAGCCTTTCCTTTTTGATCTTAACATGCCGCCATCTCCTGTGGCCGGTGAAGCTGCTGCTGATCTGGATGAACTCGCCTGCACGGCACTTCGGCTATGAGGTCTTTCCCTCCTCAGATGGCATAATTGAGCCTAATCATTTGGAAGAAATTCGTCCACCCCATTTGGTTAAACTACCCCCAACTTTACTTTTCACTGTTGTTTAGCTCTTTTACATTACTGTTTTGATTCTGCTGAAAAAAAGGGAAAAAAAAGGAAGAAATGAAACAAGATTTCTCATAAACAGGAGTGGAAGACTGAGGGTGTCTTACGAAGGAGTCTCTGTTGTATGAGATCTGTTGTTTGAGGAGAGTGTGCTTTTTTTTTCTTCTCGTATTTAAACGTTGATGTTATCGATAATAGAGGATCCTATGGTTGATATTTAAGAATGATGTCGACTTTCACTTGTATCATTTTAGATATACAAAGCTTGTTGTGTGAAGAATAATTTCTATTGACTTCACTTACTAGCTCTTTGGTTGTAAGCGTATGTCATATAGATTCATTCATCTCACGTTTAATGCGTTTAAGTCGACACCATATCACTAACCCCTTGTGAGGAAGTATTTGTTATGTTATGTAGTTACAGCTGCTTTACTAATCCCTTCTATGGGAATATTCAGTATGTCGGGCTAATGCATGTTTCTGTTCGTGAACATTCACTTGTGTAGTTCTTATAATTACCTTTGGTGCTGAATTGGGATACTAATATGGAATTGATGATATTGGGTTTGCTATTTGCCTTGTTAAATGATCTCAATCTGCTTTTCTGTTTAGTTGGGGTGATATTTTTGGACTTTGGTAAGTTGTTACATGTATTAAGCAGTAATATGACCTTGAGCATGTAAAATCATTTTCTTTGTCCATGTTTGTTTACTTTCCTCTCTTGAATCTGTTGCATGCAAGTGACACATGCCGTACTTATCGTAAGCCTACGTCGGTGTTTAGGGTACAATAATGATATATTTGTATGCCATTACAATTTTACTTTCTTTCTATTAAAAGTTATCCGTGCTTTCTATTTGTTTCCTGAATGCTTCGCCTCTAACTGCTGAGTTCTGTCACAAGTTGTTTGTTAATAATGTTAGTGATGTGCTTTATCTAATAGTGTTTAGCCAACTGAATTTAGCATCCAATTTTACTTGTCACAGTTAACATTATATGAATCTGTTGTATGTTGTCCTTTCTTTTTTCCATTGCAGATGAGTGTTCAGCCGTTCATACTGAATATTATGCCGTACTCGCTTGAAGATTCAAGATCCACGTAATTTGCGGCATATGGTTTTGCAATCTCCTGTAATTTATTTACCATTTTCATTTCCGATATTTTCGACAATGCCTGTTTCTCACTTTCCAAATTTTTGTCGCATTCTCTAGGCTTTGAAAGGAAATTGTTTTAAGAAACTTCGTATTTCATCAACCAAGCTAAGTATGCTGGGAGGATTTAATGCCTAGAGTCAGTCATTTTTTTCGTTGATTAGTCACTTGTTAGTCGATTAAATTCTGGCACTATGCTTGTTGTATTAAGTAAAGCTTGTGAGAATTTCATTGACTGAAAGTTTTTCGGCCTCCCGCTACTGTTTAGGGTTTTTGATGTTATCACCATTTTTTTTTCCCATCTTTTACGTTTGTGCAGTCCTATTTTGTTTCTTTTGTAGTGAGGAAGATTGGATAAATATGGTTGGCAGTTAATATCTTTAGATCTTTTTCTGCATCATTTTACATTGTGTTAGTATGTTGAAATTACTTGCTGACGGTCAATTTGCAGTGTGAATATATCTGTTTTATTGTGAAGTTCAATTTCCCAGCAAGTGGAGCTTCTTCATTTTCCCTCCAATTAGAATGTTGTGTACTTCTTTAATTCTTTTCTTATAACAGCTTCGCTATAGGAGTGTCTTAGATGTAATTGTATTTTTTTTTAAAAAAAAAAAAGAAAGAAAACAAAGGGCAATATTAAAGTTGGATCCCCAACCAGTATGTAGTCAAGACCCTAATGGGCATGAATCACAGGTCTATACATGTCCAAACATAAAATGAAAACAAAAACGAGAAAAAAGACAAAACAATAATCAAAACAAAAAGTATGAACCTAGGGTGACAAGTACCTAGGCAAATAGTCTGTTTCACAAAGTGAGTCGAAACACAAAAATGCAGGACTACTAAGATATAACGAGGGGTAGCCAACTTGGTCCATCCGTACGAGTACGAAGTTGGAGAGAGGCGTCATCTAGGTAGAAAGTGCGCCTCTGTGAGGTGGAGGCACCTAGGCTGGCTAGGTAGTTAGTGGGTCGGTTCTCCTAGCGGAAGATGTGCGAGATTTGGTAGCGAACCGACTAAGTGTGGATCTGATTCGTATGAACGGTTGTTGAATTTGCCACGAGCTCTAATGGACTGAGGTCAATAGTGTGGCGACAGCGGTGGCATTCAGCTCCATCCAAATGTGAGTAGAGATAGAAGCTGCAATCTAAAGACTGATCTGAATCACCTGAACCTCCGCGTCATAACTCGAGGTGGTTTGAAGAGATGCGTGGAAAGCGGTAATGAGAGTTCCGCTGTGATCCCTAATCAGGACACTCGCCTTCGGCGGCTCTGGTAAGTAAGTCGAAAGATCCGTCAGTGTTTAACTTAACCTAAGGGGAGTCGGGTCTCAGCCAGATAACGGCTCTAGGGCGTGAGTGCTGGACAGGAGACATCAGAGGTGGTACGAAGCAGTGGGGCGACGTGCAGCCTGTCCAGTCTCTAGGTGTGAGTCTGGCTAGAGCTGTCAGGAGGGAGAGATGTAGATCAACATGTAAAACAATATGAGATCACATGAAATTATATGTTTCACACTATTCCTTTATGCCTAGATGAACCACAAAATCAGACAATGGATGAGGAAACCCACGTGTCTAAAGTGTGTGCCCTGTGAGAAAAAACTCATGAGCACAAAAAACTGTCTGTAGTGGGTATGTGTATATGAGTATAAGTGGCAAAATTCTCTCATACTCTCCTCGGGTTCCTGGGCTTGCCTACCTACTTTGTTTAGCCGCCTCCACTGTCTACTATCATGAGCGGTGGTCGTCACCCTACAGGGATGGCATGCACCCCTACGACAGTACTTCCCTTGAATGTAATGAGCCTAAAACGATTTTCTCTCCCTGAAGTGCCACCACATCTTACAAGAGAAGGCGGTGTACATATGATAAGCGGCGGATCCCAAGGCCACTTTTGGAAAAAGGTCAGCAAACGAAATCTCACTTCATCCAGCGGAACCGTCTCCCTCTCCGGGAGCCTTCCCCATGCCTCCATAAATAACTAGTCATGATCTGATCTAACTTGTGGAGACTTGATTTAGGGGGATCGGGGACCATAAGGAGATGAAGCGAAAGGGCACTGGGGGTGCTCTTGATCAGCGCGAGCTGACTCCCAAAAGAAAGATATTTATGCGACCAGCTGGAGATCCGATCAATCATCCTCTGCCCGACGTTTGCAAAGAGCGCGGTCGTCAGATGGCCCTTGTACAGAAGGGTGCAGAGGTAGGTGATGGGGAGGTCGCCGCGCACGAAACCAGTGTGCTCGTGGACCCACTGCGCACACTGTTCCGCAACAAAGAGGGGAGAGGATGAAGGTGCTCTTTTGCACGCTGAGGAGCTGACCGATGACCGAGCCATAGTGCTCTAGAAGGTGCATAAGCTAGACCAGTCCATCATTATTCGCATGAGTGAAATAATGATGTCGCCCGCATAATAGAGGTGCAACATGGTAGGACCATAGCCACTTGTGTTGGAGGTCATCATCGGGTTATCACGGATGAAGGCGTCAAGGTAGCGAGAAAGGTAGTCTGCCGACAGAACAAAAAGCAAGGGGGAGAGGGTATCCCCCTGCCGGAGGCCCCGAGAAGAAGTCGGTGGGGCTACCATTAACCAGAATCGAGAATGTGCAGTGCTCCACACACGCTTCCACAAAACTGACCCATCGCTTTGGGAAGCCGATCCGGACCAGCACCTTTCTGAGAAAAGGCCACTCTGATGAGTCAAAATAATCGACTCACCGAGGTTGCCGGTTGAACCGCCTCATATCGGTTGCGCGAGTGTTCGGACGTCTCGGTCGCCTTCGTCTTCAAGAAGCAGATCGACCTGCAAAGCGCGGGGACAGAGCCCCGACGTACACTCAGACACTCAAGTCAGAAAACGGATATATTTTGATCGTGTATTTTAAGTAATCTTAAGAGCTTAGGATTAGAAAATGAACTTGGTCCCTTATTTATAAGGTGTGTAATGACTTATTCCACAAGAAAAAGGGTTTCCTTAATAACAAGGAGTCTAACTCTCACCTATCACTGTGTGGATACAAACTGAAATATCTTTTAGGAATATTTCCTAAATATTCATGGATATTTTAAATCCATTCCATATATCGCATAAATAGGCTCTAAGCTTCCTTGGAGCGGCATTATCTGAGCTAACCGCTCAGACTGGTCCACCAAGTTATTTTTGGTGCTACATCATCTAGCTCCCCCTTCCCCCAACTCTAGACGAGCTTATGAATATAAGACTTGTCTAAGAGTAAAACAATCATGTCATGCACTTTATCGATTATCTTGACAAGTCTGTCAGCGTAATTTAGCGCATTTATATTCCGCATTTTATCCATTATCTTTTTCTCTCTTTCACATAGTTGTGCGTAAATATTTCTCACATTATCAATTATTTTCGTCAGTCTGTCGCATAGTTTATCGCATAATATGTTTCCCACTTTATCAATTATATTCGTCTTTCTATCGCGTAATTTATCACATAATTTTTTTGCACTCTATCAATTATTGTAACGCCCACTTGATATTTTATAGAAAATGCTGATATTTTCTAAGTAATTCTAAACTTTCAAAAATCTGAAATTCTTTTACTCAGACAGTTACTCAAAAATTATATTTCTTTATGAAAATTCTAACTTTTTATCTTGCTAACTGAATCTGCTAACTCTTCTCTGTTCTTCTTTTTATCTCGACTCAAAACTAGCTAAGAGTCTACAGAGAACTAACTCCCATAAATAATTCAAGATAATGAATTATGAATGCATAAATCTCAAGTTATAAGTCTAATAATTCTCAAGTCAAAACAGTGCAAACCAAACTCAACATCCAATATCTCGAACATGGAAAAAAAAAATACTAAGTCTGCAATGTTCTGAAAAACTCAAATAAACTCATAAATAAATAATGACCACCAAACGCCACCCTCCAGTGTCGCTGCCCAGCTGCTCAACCTAAAAATGATAGTTGTGGGGGATGAGCAAAAATATCTACATGCTCATCTTTAGCCTATATAACGGATACCTTGTAAAATGAGTAACGCAATCGGGATCTACAAAGCAAATAGGTTTTATTACTTAATCACAAGTTCGACCTCTGATATTGAGGTCGGATCTTTTGTTACACTTGAAATAATCACATAGATTTATTAAATGATTGAGAGGAGTTAATGTAGAGTGAGAATTAGTTGGTGGATGAATCAACAACCCTTAATAAATTAGGTGAGGTTCTATTTATAGTAGCCTTATTCTAGCATTGTTTCGGTACTGTTTATCCTATCTTGTCCCGACAGTAACTCGGAGCAACAGGTCGGCTCTGCTCTGACAAATGTTAAATGAGGTATGAGATTACCTGTCAAGCATTAAATGCTCCACATGTGTGCATTTAATGCTGATTTACCTTCTTGCCGAGGTAGATACGCTATGGGGATAGACTAGTGTGTCATGTCACATCGACAATCATTACTTGACAAGTAACAATATTTTATTATTTCATGGTCCTGCATGTACGTTGGTACCGATCTTGTCGAGTCTTCAGGTCGGACTCTCGTCATTACTTCATATTTAATCCTCGGGGTTCTGTTTCTATGCTCGGCGCTCGCGTAGATCGGCATCATCCCTCGGCCATCCAAAGTGCCGTTCTGGAGAATTATCTTGCACACCGTTTTCGTCAACTTTGTTCACCGGCCAGCTCGGCCCTTTGGGTATCCCGAATATCGTTTCGGTCCTTAAGGTCGTCGTTGACCGGTCGGTTACCCTTAGTTCGTGGGTCCTTTTGGGCTCAACTCGGATACCAACAGGGTATTCATTTAGGATTTCAAAATGTATTACAGTAATACTGAAGTATTTAACTTATTTGGGACTAGAACTTGTTAAGAGTCATTAAGATTTGCTAGGATTTCTATAGAAAAAACGATATACGAAATCCCACTCACCTTAAGATCTCATAAGATTCCTCTAAAATATGAAAATTATAAAAGTCTCAAATCTAAAAAAATATCAAAATATCACTTGAAATCCCAAACGAATACACTCTTCACTCCTAAAGCCTGGAAAAAGGATTTGGAGTCAGATTCCGTATATATTTTTTTTCTTTTGAATTCCTATCAAATGTTAAAAAACTTTACAAATCTTGATCCCAAATAAGTTAAATACCTCAGATTTTGTAAGACTTTATAAAATCTAAAATGAATAACTCAATACTTTTAAAAGTTTTGAAAATCTAAATTAAATAAATTAGAATTGTTAAAGTCTTAAAAATTCTTTAAAAATCCCAAATAAATATAAATTCTTGTGGTTCTTATATTTTATTATATTATTTTTCTCAAGCAATCGGTTGCTGAATTGGTTTATGGATAAGATTTCAATATCAACCAAATGTTCACAATTCTCTACCAAAAGGTTGTTAGTAGTACTGCTGATATTAGATTGTCCAATGGTTTAGACAAATATATTTTTTTTCAATACACTAATGTTGATATTAAGCTATCTATTGTGTAGGCAATCATATATTTTAGTTATTTTGCATATTATTATATTCAGATGTTATATTTTATAAAATAGCATAAATAATGTCATGGTATTTTATGTCTTAAATATGTATTTTTTTCTTAAAAACAATATAGTTGTTTTATAGCTGTTATTTCATCAATTAGCATTTCGGGTAAAAAAAAAAAAAAGATGATTTCAAATTATCCATTGACTAGAAAATTTGATTCAAAAGTATTTATTGTAATATTACCCAAATCTCTTAAAGTTTAATTATATTTGCAAACACTAATTTTGTAATTTTCGATAGGCTCTTTGTATTTAAATAAGCTCCGTTTGGTAGTACGAGTTTTTTTAAAAGCTCGAGTTTATTTGATAAGCTTCCTAGAGAAGTTTTTCAAATAAGTTCGTTAAAATGTTTATTTTAATTAGCTAATCAGCCAATTTTACCAAACACGTTTATCATATACGCTAATTTTTCAGCTATAAATCATAAGATATTGCAATTAAAACTAGTTGATAAGTTAGCTTATAGCTTATCATTATTTTTTTAGCTTATAACTTATAGCTAATGACTTACAGCTAAAAAAGATAGCTTATATGATAAAAGTGTTTAGTAAAATTAGCTGATAAAGCTAGCTGTAATAAAAAATTCAACTAGCTTATTTAAAAAACTACCTAAAGAAGCTTATCAAATAAGCTCGAACTTTTTAAAAAAGCTCGTCCTACTAAACGGGGCTTATTTGAATACAGAGAGCTTATAAACTAACCAAATAAACTATAAGCTAGATTATTTATCTGCCGAACATAATCATAAACTATAAACTTAAAAATGACTGATAAGCTATGAACTACCTTATCAATTAATTTTACCAATATAGTCATAGGAAAAATGCTCACCTACCCACGGTGGTCACATATTAATATGTCCACCGCGTAGGTGGCATGCACTCATTGGTGATGTATTTTTTTAAACATATTAACATTACCAATGAATGAATGCCACCTACGTAGTGGACATATTAACATGGTTCACCGTGGGTAGAAGAACATTTCTATATAGTCATAATAACTAGGTCAAGACTCAAGAGTAAGAGGAAAAGAATAGAAAAGCATAATAAATAGGGTGGGAAAAGGGCAGAAAATCTATCCATCCAAAGAGTGCTGGCCGGTTGGTTTGTGGGGACGTGTGCAAAGAAAATAGGTAGAAAGCTATTCTTCCTCAACCTATTATTTTAATTAATTTTAGGCAAAATTGCATATAAATGCACCACCTTTCATGTTTTTGCAATTTAATCACCACATTTGCAATTTAGCAATTTAATACACCACTTTAGTTATTTTTTACAATTTGAATCACAGGGCCCAACTTCGGGCCTGTTCTGCTGACGTGGCGACCCGTTCTGCTGATATGGCATTTTTTTGCTGACGACATTCCACGAATCAACAATTACATGGCATTTTTGCGCTGACATGGCGACCCATGTGTCAATTAAAAAAAAATATGTTGTCCGCCCTATATGAGATTCGATCTTGGGTTAAAAGGGTTGAAAGGCAACCATTGCTACCACCACACCAATCCAACTTAGTCGTCAAATGTAATTACCTTTTATATATATACACATTACGTATGAAGAAATCAAATTAAATCTAAAAGAAATTTATTTATATTAAATTAAACTATATATAATTGAATTAAAAATAATATAATAAGATAATTAAAATATATTTTTTTGAATTCATATTTTGTGTTAGAGTGAATCGAATTAATAATATTATATTAATTTAATATATTTATTTATTTATTTAAAATAAATTTATTATAAATATAATAACTTATTATTATATAATAAATTATTATTTCATTTAAGATTTTTAATATTTTATTATTTTATATAAAAATAACAATTCTTGTTTCATTATTCATTTACGATTATTTAACATTTTATTTACGTAAATTATATTTTTTAATTTATTATATTTATTTAAGATTTTTAATTATCTTCATTTATTTTATTTTCATTTAATTTAATTTATGATCATTTTATATTTTATTAATTTAATATAATATATTTAATTATTCTAAACTTAATACTATAATTTATTCACACGTAATTCTTATATATATAAATTGTTATTGAATATGTTAACTAACATGGATAAGTGAGTTGGTAGCATAGTTACTTTTCTCCCATGGAGACCAGGGTTCAAACCCCCTTTCTACAACATACATATTCTTTTTTTTTTTCAATTGACATAGACTGCCACGTCAGCCCAAAGATGCCCCGTCATTGACACGTGGAAACGTCACGTCACCACAAAATGCCACGTCACCAGAACAGGCCCGAAAATTGGGCCCTGTGATTCGAATTGCAAGAAATAAGTAAAGTTGTGTATTAAATTGCTAAATTGCAAAAGTGGTGATTAAATTGCCAAAACATAAAAGGTGGTGCTTTTATATGCAATTTTGCCTTAATTTTATTTATTATAGTACAACATTAAAACCACCGTAATAATAATGGTAGATGTTGCGTTTCCGTTGTTCAATCATTTCGTCGGATTTGTAACCGTTAGATCAACTATTTTGATAGTTACATGATGATGTCAAGATTATAAATTCTGACAGAATGATTCCGTAACGGAACTTAGCATTTCCAAATAATAATATCATAACTTGAAATTAATAATTTTGTTTAATAAAAAAAAATAACGCTCGCCTCCCAACCTCTTCTTTTCAAAACACACACACACACACAAAACGCAGTAGAGAGAGAAATAATGGAAAACAAACGAAAAAAAGGAATTGAAAATTAGATTATCACAATTCACAATCTCATCATCCCATCTCTCTCTGGTGTTGTGTTGTGTGCACCTTCCTGTATATATGTAGTTTTTTCCTTACTTCATTTTTCATCACAAATCATTTTTCCTTTTTTTTTTTCTTTTTTCTTTTCATATATATATTGAAAAATTTATGCCATGCGGCGAGGCAGGGCACCGGGGCGGCTTGGAGCGGCGGGGGCCCATGCCGGAGATGCCGACGGATCTAACGAGATGAAATTCAGAGGCGTCAGAAAGAGGCCGTGGGGTAGATATGCCGCCGAAATCAGAGACCCCTGGAAGAAGTCTCGCGTCTGGCTCGGAACCTTCGACTCTGCTGAGGCCGCCGCCCGGGCTTACGACGCCGCCGCCCGCTCTCTCCGCGGCCCCAAGGCGAAGACGAACTTCCCCCTCACCCTAAATGCCGGCGCTTTCCCAGATTCCAACCCTAGAAACCCTAATCAACCGCTAATCAACAATAAATCCGGCGATCCGTTCGTCAATTCGCGTTATCGAACCCTGGAGCATCATCAGATCGTCGCGACGCAGGGGCCCGCTTCCAGCGGGATGAGCAGCACCGTGGAGTCCTACAGCGGGCCCCGTCAGCCGCCCCGGCCGCGGCTGGTCACGCAGCTGCAGAGGCGACACCCTCGGTCGCCGCCGGTGGACCCTAATGACTGCCACAGCGACTGTGATTCCTCCTCGTCCGTGGTCGACGATACCGATTTTGATTTTGCCTCATCATCTTGTAAAAAGCCCCGACCTTTCGATCTCAACATGCCGCCGCCGGCGGTGGACTCCGCTTCTGACGTGGAGGATCTCGCTTGCACAGTCCTCCGGCTCTGAGGTGTTTGCCTCCACTGGATGATATATGATGGGCCTTAATCGTCTGGCGGAAATCTACCAATTTGGTTAAATTACTCAGTGTTTTTTTCCCCTTTTGATTTGGCGGAACTCTGAGAAACCAAAAAAAAAAATGGTGGAGAAGAATGGTCATAGACAGGGTTGTGACATAAATTTAAGAGTGTCCTGTATGAGTGTGTTGTCTGAAAAATATTTGGTTTTTATATTTATAACTGTTGATGGTATTGATAATTAGGAGGTCTATGCTTGACATTGAAGTGTCCCTTGTGATGTTTTATGGAATCATGAGATCTGTCGTGCTGGTTTGAAAGATTGAATCTTTATCTGTATTCGAAACGATTGCAAGTTGTTTTTTGTGGTGCCGGTTTGAAAGATTGAATCTTTATCCGTATTTGACACGATTGCAAGACGTTTTTGTGGTACCGGTTTGAATGATTGAATCTTTATCCACATTTGAAACTGCTACATGTGTAATAATTCTTTTTGGTGATTTTATAACTCCTGCGTTGTTGTTCGAGAATTGTATATGCTTGTGGTTTTGACTCAAGTTTTGATTAGGATGGAATCGAGACTTGGTGGCTCACTTCTGTCGCTCACTCATCTCCATCTGCATTTTTGTGTACCAGGATTGCTTGACCTAAATAAAAGGTATTTGGTTGTTGGTCAAGTAAGCTTTTTTCTGTCTGGTGTTTTCATTTGTACTATGTTATTTATAACTCTTTAGCTATGCATGTCAATGAACGTTGGGCATGTTAAGACATCGTTGCATGTCTGTTTTACGTGGATCAATAATGTTTTAGCGTTATATGCCGTTACAATCTTATGCTCGTTATTTTCCTAATCTATCTACACGTGCTATTCATTCGAATAATAGTGTAGGAAATCTGGACCACATTTACTTTAGGATTTCTCCCCGTATATCTTTCATGTGATTGGAGTCGTTAAGAATTTGTTCCTTAGCTCTTCTTTTCACGTGTCTGTTAGCCATATCGAATGAGCCTACCAGTTGTAATTGAATTTCGAATGTATGCTTACGTACGGCGATTAGCTAATAAATGTTATCATACCTTTTCTTTTCATGCTTGTGGATTATTATGCTCTTCTAAGCTTTTTATCTAATTTGTTGGTTTACATGCTTGTGGATTATTATGCTCTTCTAAGCTTTTTATCTAATTCGTTGGTTTACGTATAGATGCATTTTTCTCTCCGTTTTTATGGCCGTGTTGTTCGTCTTTGTTGAAGCTGTATGCAAAGTTTGTGATCAGATTTGGCATCTGGTTGCATTTTGGGCCCCTTATGTGTTCTGTGTTTGTGTGGGTGTTTCTCTTTTTCCTTTTGAATTCTTGATTGTTCTCTACTGCCAGTAGACATGGCCAAGGTCCGCCCGGCCCGGTCAAAACCGCTGACCATGGGTTTGGGACCGGACCAGATTTCTGACGGGCCGTTTTAGGGTCATCCATTTCATGACCCGGCCCGGGCCGGTCGTGTTCGAAGGGCCCCTTTTTATATTTTTTTCTATTGTTTTTTTTTTTTAAATTACGGACCCAGACCTGGCCCGGTTGACCGGGCCATTAACCCGACACGAGTATATGTCCGTGCCGGGTCCGGGTCATTGTTTTCGAGCTCAGCGACCCGGTGGGCCGGACCGGGTCGTGACCCGGCCTGGATTTTGGCCATGTCGAACGGCAAGTTTTTGTTTTAGTTGGGGGATATATTATTGGTTTCTATAAAAGGGAATTAGTAATATATTGGATCTGTTTTGCTATGAAACCAACAGTTGTACATAGAAAGAAGGTTGACTCCACTATGAAGCCAATGGTTGGCTTTATAGTAAAACCGATGATTAGAGAGCTTAAATTAATCAATCATCTAAATTTTCACTAGACCCTCATGCTTGTATCATTATCGGTGTTGTGGAAAGTGTAGCTGCTCAATTCTCCTGGCGATTTGGTGCGACATTTTTGACTTGATCATCATTCAAATCTGACTAAGTACAGTAAATTTCAGCTTCTTACTTTCTACAGCATATTAATATAAGTGTGGTAATTGTCTATAGTATATTTTAAAGTACGGCATTTTGGGTAAGAAAACATGTATATTTATTGAAAGAATATGTTTATCTAACTATTACCCTGCATGCTTTACACTGTCATGTCATATTTTTTTTATTCTTTTTTTTTTTTTTTTATTTGTATCATATTTTAAAGTATGATATTTGAGTTTAAAAATGCGAACCATTTTTGAATTGGCATAATTCGAATAATCTTGTTTACTTTAATTTTATTCCTTGTAGGTCATTTGGAAATGCAACAATACAAAATAAAGGGAAGATAAACTATTTATTAAAGTATGTTTGGTAAAATTGGCTATTAAGTTAGCTGATAACTGATAGGTTGCAAGTGAATTTCGAGCTATGCCTGATAAATAAAAAGCTAGTTAACATGATAAAAATATTTTGTAAAATTATCCGGTAAGCCAGTTGAATTTTGAATTTTCGACGGGCATATTTGAAAAACTACTCAAAGAAGCTTATGTGATAAGATCGATCTTTTTTTATAAAAGCTCGTCCTACAAAATCAAACATATTTGTCTACAAAAGGCTTAAGCTATGTTTGATAAGCATATTAGTTAACTTATAGCTTATCTGATTAACTTATAAGCTTTCTGCATTCAAATAAGCTTGGTTTGATATGACGGGTTTTTTTTGAAAGCCCGATCTTATCTCATAAGTTTCATTGGGTAGTTTTTTTAAATAAGCTCACTAGGTAGTTTTTTTGTCAAGTCGTCTCTTACAAATAACACAACTGTAGATACTTAATGGCATAAAGAGTTATACGCCAAAGTTGTCTTAGGAGACAGTAAGCTCTTTGGAACAAAGTTATATACTCAAGCTATCTTAGGAGAGTAGTTAACCCAGTCTTCGCGACTTGTAGCTCCAACCGATGTCGAGCGATAGGGTGGGTCGTCCACTCGATGCGAGTCACATGCCCAAAAGCATACGATTTCTTGTTCTTGGCCCGATTTCACCATCATTGTATCAATATTTTGAGATGATTGAAGTAGGAGGAGGATGTGTCTTTTTTACTTGTAGACTTATCTCCAGTCTATAGATAGATTTTGAAGGAGAACACGATCATGTATTTTTTAAGTGTAAATCATTTTTGCTGATGTACAACGTAGATTTTAACCAAAACTATATAAATTTTAGAACTATTGTTTAGTATCTATTATATTTAGGTATGTTGAATTGTTGAAGTGTGGCGTTGATATGATATTGTGAATCGTGTCATGTTTGTTTACCTATACGACACCTCCGCAGTTTGATCATCACCTCCCCAAAGAAATGAGGCATTGTCGACATTTTAGTAATGCTTGAACACGAGAAACTACTTCAAAATACATTTGTAGGATAGAATTTTATTCTCATCAACTCTGCCACACCACTAACATAGTTACCCATAGAAAACGTATCGTCATAGTGCACGCATACTATAACACGGTTGCTAGCCATTGAAGTTTAAATTTAAAAGAAAGAAAATAAGAGCTAAATAAGTTCAATAAGAAGAATCAAATTAAAAAAGTAAATGCGATTGATATGGGGCCATGAAAAGCTTGAACAACAAGAAGTGCAGTAACATTAAAACAAAAAGAAACAATGAATTAAATGGTATTTATAATAATTATATAAATAGATTAACCTTTTTTAAAAAAGGAAATTCAAATTTTTTTGTCAAAGTCAGTTAGCATTTAATTCTTTCTATTAATAGCTAAAGTTATCTTCGCATGTCCATGTAAAATCTTTTATCCCTTTAAAATTGTTTGCAATTTCCAACCTATACCAAATAATCTATAAAAAGTTTATCCATACATTAATTCAAGTTTATCCCATCATATAAATCTCGGTATGTTTAAAAAATCTCGCTAGCATAATGTTTTTTTTTTAAAAAAGGTAATGCACTCCAATGTCTCATTAGCAACATAAATCCTTTATTTTTGGCTTTAAAAGCTAAGTTTTCCCATCTAATTACTAATATTTCAAATAATATTAATATTATTAACTTATTATATTATTTTAGATATTTTAAACATTATTTAGACAATGATTAAGGATATATGGAGGATACATGTACATATATGGAGGTTAAACTAAAATATTTTTATACATGTTTTCTTTACTGGATAGTTTAGAAAAAATTTATGTGGCATCAAACATATTTCAAGAATAATATAGAATATTTTAGATACATTTTTATATATGTGATATAACATTTTATATGTTTTTAATATATATATATATATATATATATATATATATTAAAATAGAATAAGATTTATCACATATTTCTCCCCAAAAATATTAAGTACATACAGTACAAAGTTAATAGAAATATTAAATACATACCGTAAAAAGTTAATAGAAACGATGCTGAATTAAATATCGTCTTCCATTTTAGTCTTAATCTCAATTATATAAAATCTGATTTTATTTGTTACGGCTTGCATTAATCTCGATTTGCATGTGTAAAATTGAGTGGATATAAATGTGCATTATGTGTGGATTTGTTATGTGTACAAAATTACTTTTGAAGTAACAATTTTGTCTTAATCTCAGTTAGATATAAAATAAATATTATTTTATTTGTAAAATTGATAAATCTGCATACAACATGTATGCGTCCAAAAATTCTTTTTGCGGTAAATCTTTTGTACTCAAATTACTTAATAATAATAATAATATTCTTAATCTCAATTATATAAATCCGATTTTATTTTTTACGGCTTGTATTTATCTCGATTTGCATTTGTAAAATTGAATGTGGATATAAATGCGCATTATGGGTGGATTGTTATGCGTACAAAATTGCGTTTGAGGTAACAATTTTGTCTTAATTTTAGATATAAAATAAATATCATTTTATTTGTAAAATTGATAAATCTGCATATAGGCGTACAAAAATTATTTTACGCCTAAATCTTTTGTACTCAAATTACTTAAAAAATAATAATAATATTTTTGAAATCTTTTGTACTCAAATTTCAGGTACTGTCATAATCATGTCAATATTTATTTTATATTATACGTAAATTTTCTCTCATAAACTTTATAATGTCTTTATTTAAACCTATAATATTATAGATAATTTTATACAATATTTTATCATGTCATATTCTATCTATATATACATATCATCTACACACACATATATATACATATTAAATTTAAATATTTTTAAGAATGTTTTCTTTATAAAAAAAATTGTTTAGAAAATATCTTTCATACACAAAAGTGAAAAAGTTAACAATTGTTTAGAAAACATCTTTCATTCACATTTAAATAATAATAATAATATTCTTAATCTCAATTATATAAAATCCAATTTTATTTGTTAGGCTTGCATTAATCTCGATTTGCCTTTCTAAAATTGAATGTGGATATAAATGTGCATTATGTGTGGATTTGTTATGCGTAAAAAATTGCTTTTGAGATAACAATTTTGTCTTAATCTTAGATATAAAAATATCATTTTATCTGTAAAATTGATAAATCTGTCTATAGCGTGTAATTGTATGCGTACAATTTTTTTTTTACGATAAATCTTTTATACTCAAATTACTTAAAAAATAATAATAATATTTTTGAAATCTTCTATACTCAACTTTCAGGTACTGTCATAATCATTTCAATATTTATTTTATATATACTACGTAAATTTTTTCTCATAAACTATATAATGTCTTTATTTAAACCTATAATATTATAGATACTTTTATACAAGGTTTTATCATGTCATATCTATCTATATATAGATAACATCTACACATATACATATACATATACATATTAAATTTAAATACTTTTAAGAATGTTTTCTTTAAAAAAAAAAAAAAAAATTGTTTAGAAAACATCTTTCATACACAAAAGTGAGAGTTAGACATGTTTTCTTTCCAAAATAGTTTAGAAAAGTTGTAGGTGCCTTTAAATTTTTTAATAATAATATAGAAAATTTTAGATATTTTGACATGTGTTAATATAATATTTTAAGTGTTTGTAATATTTTAAACATACAAATTCAATATTCTCTTGTACAAACTAATTTTAGATTGTTTATATAAACTGACATACGGTAAATTATATCACATGTTAACCCCACATCTTTAATTTGTTTACCCTCATCTTTAATTTATAATATTTTTTCTTGCTCTTTTAAGAAATAATGGTTTCCCACTTCTTCATTGGATGACTCGAACTCGAGACATATTTATAATTATAATTTAATACTATTTACCCGTGCATCGCACGGGATACACACTAGTTAAATGCAGAAATGAAGTAGAAGAATAAAATTCAGACTACAAAAGATGAAGCGACGACCCATAAGATTTCTGACAAAACAATCCATATTTCCGTGTCTAGTTTTACGTGATTATGCAATGAAATTACGCATAACCGTTAATTATCCGACGTTATATATTTAGGTATGTGAGTTGTAAACCATGCGAAACATATGTTGCATAATTGTAAATTATACAACGTTCGATTTGGATATGTGATAACTAAAATTGAGAACGCTTTTCATATATCGTAAATTACGCGGTTGATCTGGATATGCAATTACAAGATATCGTTTACTTTTATTTAATTTTTTCATTATCTTATGCGAAAACTACAAGATATATCACACTTGTTTCGCTGTTCTGCGAAGATCCTCTCAATTGAACTTTTTCACTTCGAACATTGTCCCCGATTTTTCATTTCCATGCAAAGCATTGTTCCACACATACTTGATCATCACCATCATCGTTAGTGTCATCATCGTCTATGTCTTTCATTAAGATTGAGTCGTCAATCGAGGCCCACCCTACAAGTCGATCACCATCGCATTTCGAGGTAAAAACCTTGTAACACTCGCGATACAAAGGGAATCCGTACAGACGGATAATTGCTTGTGTGTCTGTCTCTTGTGGATTAAATTTCAATTTTTTTCGGGTTATGACCATAATGTTTGAACAAACTAAAATTAAAAACCAATTTACCTCATTGCCCACATACAACCTGTACATGTGGTTAACGCTGTCAAGGTCAGTTGCACCACGCACATAAAACTTGATTTGGATATGCGTTGATGTATATGCGACAATATCTTGCATAATTGTTAATTATACTGTTCATTTGAATATGCGATTTTTATATCGATACCATGGTGTAAAGGAAATAGTCCTATATATATATTTCCTATGCTGTGACGCCATTACTAACGAGTTGACTTTAGGCTTCGAATTCTTTTTAAAATTACTCAAACAGGCAGACGAGACAAGGATTTTAATACTAAAATATTAATTTATCAATGCAGTTTTGTGGTGTTCATACATCCAAAAGTCTAATGAATATAACTTGCCTTGTCGTGTTATCCTTTCTTCCTAATGATAAATTTCTTCTAAAGGGTTTCAGGATTCAGTTTTACTTTGTGAAAATTAACCGTTGAGTGTCAGTTAGTCATCAATCATCCAGGATTAGTAATCAACCCATCATTGCAAAGAGTGGATTAGTAAAGGACACAAACAGCACTTAATTTGGAAATGAAGACTACGGCCGCATTAAGGAGGCACAGTGAGGCGGAGAGAAGGAGAAGAGGAAGAATTAACGCGCACTTGCAGATCCTCCGGGACCTCGTTGGCGCCGAAGAAAAGGTCAGTCAGTCAGTCACATATTTCTCCCCTCTTTTGTTTTGTTAGGCATTCGTAAATTTGGATTCACCTATACTAGATGCATTGTTTGTTTATATACTTACGAATAACTGTTTATTTTTTCATCGAGACTTGTAACCGTTAGATCTACTATCTACGACGGTTACGTGATGATCTAACGGTTATAAATTCCGACAGAATGGTTCCGCAACGGGACTGTAGCATTTCCCTTTGTTTTAATCGTCTTGAAAAAAAAAATAATGGATTAGTGTTTTAATCGTCAGTACGCAAAGGCCAACCGAGTCCAATACTCAAACGCAAACGAATAATTTGTTCCAACCGATACTCAAAACCAAACGCAAAATGCGTTTGATGCCCTTTTCTCTCTCCTCTCACCGCATATATGCGTATGCACTATTCATGGACGCATAAATTTGTAGTTCATTACAAGTTGTCCTTTTTTTTTTTTTTTTATAATTACATTTATGGCCATAGAAACATCTATCACCAGTTTTACATTATTTTGTTTTTAAACAATAAAATAAAGATAACAATTTGACAGATAAAAGAATGTTTACAAATAGTACGAACCAATACATTAAAAAAATATCCAAGTGATTTAATAATATGATGATTATAGGCCAACATATTTTTATCTGTATGAATTATTAATCTATAGTAAATTTATTATATATTGTTCAAATCGAATATAAAATAATAATGGGTCTAATTTGTGAAGTTATAAAATATATTGGTAGTATTGTAAAATATAAAAGTTGATGAGAAAGAGAATATTATGTAAATATTCTTTTGAGTTTGAGAATGAGTTTGTCGGTTGGAGAAGAATTAGTGTTTGAGGTGACAGTTACTGCAAAATGGGTTTGAAAATGAGTTTTTCGGTTGGAGATGGTGTAAAGAAGGACGATTTTATTTATTTATTTATATTTCCCATTTGCTTTTAGTTTGACTTTTGTAGGCACTAATCAACTTATAGTTATAACTGTGGTAACTAAAATAACATACTGATGAGAAAATAGTAGACTTGTGTTGAGGATTTGTAAACAGAGTGTTGCTTTTTTACTTCTCTAAGAAATGAGTGATCCTTTCATGGAAACACAAATAACCACTGATAGACCTTTTCGTATCTTTAAAAGATTAGCTGTAAATTTGTGTATTTTTTTTTTTTTTCTATGAATATCAAAAGGACGGCTTAAGGAGAATGAAAAAAACGAAACAAGAATCAAAGTTGAGGCACGTAATAATTACATTCTCCTTAAGACGAAATTGTCCCGTAAAATACCCACGGTTAACGGAAAATGCCTCCAAGATACGACTTTAATTTCGACTTGTATATAACGGTACTTCAAATATACAAGAATTTGGCCAACAATACTACTGTTTGGAATTCTCAAGACTCGATGAAAAAATCAAAGAACACAATATGTTGTATATAGTCTTTGAAAAGTAAGGCAAGGGCCCATGTGTTGTGGGCTCATATGAGCTCATACGGACTAGTTATTAACGAACCATTATAGAGTTATATCATGCAAGATGCATGATCAAGTCTCATTTGGATTATTCTAACATTCGCCAAAGACATAATATTTTACGAATCCAATAATTTGAGTCACTTAAACTCATTTTTTCAAACTTACATTTCTCACATATGCAACTTAGAATTAATTTCTTATTCACCTTAAAATTGAGAATTTTCTAATTTTTTCACTTACAAAAAATGCATCCATAAAATCAGTACAAAACTAATTTTTCTCACATTAGCATCATTGTGGTATCGACGATAAGGATACCATTTTCTGGCAAAGAAATTCTTAGTGATGCACTCCCCTTACGACGTGTAAAGTTGTTTTCCAATGAGAAGGGTGAGGAGTTCTTACAAATTGATTGGATTGTTGTACAACATATGTGACATTCTTTCTACTCATGTTCAGATAGAACAACCTTCAGTCGGAGTCCGGTGAAGAACGTAGATGTACATGCAGGTTCAAATTATCTATGAATTAGTCCTAAGCTCAACGGATTTAAAGATTATGATTAAACGCTTATATTTTAAAATTTCACGAACTTTGTACAAATTTGCATGGTCTATGGTACCAGACGAGCAGGCCGCCTTTCACCTCGAGATCTTTTATTGTATTACCGTCATCGACTCCGTACGCCCTGGTGGGTGACGAACTCGAAGCCTCCTTTGAATGATCTTACATCAATCGCTTGAAAAATAAAGAAGAAAATCTTGTTTTTTGGACACTAACTTTTTTCTTATTATTTTAGCTCTTTTTTTTTTTTTTCTTCTCAAACCTCACGTGTGTGTATATTATGAATGAGAGGGCCTGCCGAAATTATCCAAGGATAGTTTTATTTATAGGCTACAACAGGTACCTTGAAGAGGTGCTAATGAAGAACTTCTCATGTTTGAACATGATTCTAAGACTCTAGCCTACCTACACCTGCCACATATGAATATTATTTTATTCCACTATTATTGGATTTCCTATATAGCCCTCAAGTTATATTTGAGGCTCCAAATTAATGTAGTTGGTTTATTCCCTTGTTATAGATGTAACGCCAGTCAATTAATTTTAATTACTAACAATATAATTAATTGACTTCTTGATCTGAAACTAGTACCACTCAATTCTTTATTATTATGTCAGATTTAAATCCTCCTGCAGAGCTTGACATAATATCATTATTTCAGCTCATTTTAGGGACATCATCAAACTGACGCACTAGCACGATGATCGTAAATAATTGAACAACACACCATACAAACAACATTACTTTCCAACTCACACTGACTATTGATCAAGCAGAATGAATCACACTTTTTAGTGAATTAAATAAATGACTATTGAGTGTACGTACTCGTTATTATCTTACATCTTATGAGTACATAGTAATTATCAAGGTCTAATTTATTTACTTAGTTAGTATAAAATAAATTTATCCTTTGCAAATTAATTCAATACACTCTTCGTGTACTAGTGCAATTTATCAGTTAAGACCAACAGATTCTAAAGTTACACTACAATTGTTCACAATGGTTTGTTAAATTCCATCTAGGTTGTGACCCAATCTTTATGATTTACAAGTAAATGATAATATGATCTTCTGTTCATCCGTGATGAACCATATCTATAATAAAACAATAGAAATAGAAGCACTTAACTAAATATATTTCTCATAATGGATATGGTGTTTGCAACAAAAGTCAAGCTTTCAGTATACACTCTAACATTCTACCACTTAATACTTAAAGCTTTCACTTTTCCTAGTATACGACTTTTAATCTCATTCTCCAAGACCTATGTTGATCCTATCTCCAAACATCTTACTCGCGGTCCCTCCACGTGTCTGTCGAAGACTTTTGTCATGAACTCTTCATGAAAGGATCCGCTAGGTTGTCTGCTAATGCTATCTTGACAACAACATCTTCTTCTCTTTCTGTGATCTCTCTTTTCACGTGGTACTTGTGCTCTATGTGTTTATTCGTCTTATAGACTCGTGGCTCCTTCGAGTTTTCTATTGCACCATTATTAACACAGTAAACTATAATATCGTTGGGTAAACTCATCACCATATCCAAGTTCAACAGGAAGTTCCTAAGTCATACAACCTCTTTTGTTGCTTCAGAAGTTGTAACATACTCGACTTTTATAATAGAGTCTGTCACACATTATGCTTGACACTCCACCATAATATGGCTCCTCCTCCCAAAGTAAACACATACCCTGAGCTAGATTTACTTTCGTCTTTGTCTAACTGGAAGTCAGAATTAGTGTAACCCACATGAGTCAATTGGCTCGAGTGGTAGACTAGCATATAGTCCTTTGTCCTCTTCATGTACTTGAGTATATGCTTCAATATAGACCAATGATCCTATCCCGGGTTACTTGATACCTGATCACTATGCCTACCGCATAGCACATATCTGGTCTCGTACACAAGATTACATATACGAGATTTCCTACTACCGATGTATAAGGAATCTCTCTCGTGTCCACTATCTCTTGAGGCGTTTTGGAATACATCTCATTGGATAATGGAAATCCATGTTGAAAAGGTAAGAACTCTTTCTTAGAGTTTTGAATTCTGAAACAAATCAAGACAATGTCTATGTATAAAGATTAAACAGAACATTCTTTTTTTGCGATTCCTTATTACTTTGATCCCAAGAATATTTCTCCTTTCTCTCAAATCCTTCATAACAAGATGCATAGACAACCATACATTTACATCTGCCAACACATTTACATTGTTTCCAATAAGAAAGATGTCATCTACGTACAACAAAGAAACACCACCACATTTGTGTCACTTTTTTTGCACATACAACGCTCATACGGATATTGAGTGAACCTACACGACTAGATTACCTCATCTAGATGAAAATGGATCGCTTCAGCTTTCACACTAGATTCTCACGGTCCTATGCGATGAAACCCTCTGGTTGCTACATATAGATGTATTCCTCAAGACTCTCATTAAGTGAAATTGTCTTGAGATCCATCTGTCAAATCTCATTGTCCATATGAATGGTAACAACTAAGAGATCTGAATGGAACTGGCCAAAAAGGCTTCTTCATAATTGATCACTTCTTTTTTGGTATAACCGTTCACAACAAACCTCGCTTTGAATGTTTTCACATTCCCATATGATCCTCAATTTCTCTTGTAGATCCATTTAAATCTAATGGATCGTACCTCACTGGGTGGTTCTACAAGATCCCACAAGGAGATCCTATCTCTTCTTTCTGAAACTTTCTCAAACTTGTTGAAGCAAGCAACTTAAAAAATAATAATTTTCAAGGAGCCTCACTTGTTTTTTGCGGATGATGCTTTCTTGTTCTGTGATCCTTCTGATAGCTCTATTCAGTGGATAAAACATATTCTTAAGGATTACTGTGAAATTTCAAGTCAACAAGTGCATTTTGAAAAATCTTCGTGTTTTTTGGCATGAATGAAGACATTGGGGTTAGGAAAAAAGTGTGCAGGATGCTGGGAAGTATGCAAACTCATCAAAACTCCAAATACTTGTGACTGCCTATTGTGATTGATTTATCCCCACCTTCTTTGACCACTTTTCTAGTAATTGTGGACAATTTGTGTGCTAAATTATGTGAAACTTAAATAAAGAAACATTAATTTTCCTAGGTACCCTTTAAACAAACTCTACAAGAAAATGGTATAGAATAATATGGATTAAAAGCAAGTATTTTGCAATGTGTTGTGATCTTAATTGCACCTCCAATATTGTCTTTACATTTTCTCTTCCTCTTGCCTAAAATTGTGTTTCAATTCACAGATGGACAAAGCCACATTACTGGGTGAAGTGGTGAACCAGCTAAAACAATTAAAGAGAGCTGTAAAACAATCCACGGAAGGCTTGAATATCCCAATCGACACTGACGATGTCAATATCGAAATACTCGAGACGCACGACAACGATGTAGTCAATGGTCTGTTTTATATAAAGGCATCGATTTGCTGCGATTACGGGCCTGAATTGTTTTCCGGTTTAAGACAAGCCATCATTGATCTACCTGTTCGACTTTGTGGGTGCAAGATATCGACATTGGGCGGTAGGGTCAAAATTATCTTTTTAATCGATAAAGGCGAAAAAGAGGAGGATAGTGAATTTGTTGCGACTTCTCTTCGTGTGGTGTTATGTGATATAATGAAGAAGTCATCAGCGCCGGCTGAGTTGTCGCCTCGGCCGGTGCATTTTCCGCTTAAACGGGCTTTGTATGAGTGAAATTCTAAAAAAAAAAATGTTGTGGAATTTTATGTACGTGGATCACATGGTTTTTCAGTTGTACATATTGTTTATGTAAAGAACATATTGTATTATTTTAATAGTTTTATACATGAGCGTGTCTTTTGTTGCTTGTTAAAAAGCTTAATTGCATTACTTGTTATTTGAAATGAATTGGTATATATATGTAAATTTAATATTAATGAAATCTACTTGTTTGTGTTAAATTTCTATTAATATGGTACCATTTTAATATTAAAAATTTACAAAATAAATTATAATACATCAATAAAAAAAACACAAAATTATTTAGCATAAAAAATACCACAAAATTATTTAACACAAAAAATACATATTATACAAAATTTTCTCAATAACATTACACATAAAAAAATAAAGAAATGAAATTGTAGCGTCCTACAACAGTGTTGCGCCACATATGGCGCACACTATCCACAACTTTCATCTGGCGATAAAATCTAGCGCAGCATTGGACTCAAATTAAGCTTGAGATACAGTCACGCTGGAGTTGGTCTTAAATGCAATCATACAGTAGGAGTCAATCAATGATTGATCACATATCTATCTAAACTATTGTATGTAAAATAGTAAAAAGACAAATGATTTTAATAAAAAATGAATTGCCTACAAAATTTCAACTTTAGCATATTTTTAATGGAAATTAGTATGGTTATTTTACTGTTAGGTACGCTCATACTTGCCTCGTACCTACATAACAACTTGTACTTCGTTAATTGATAAATGTAACTTTTTACATATTTAATTAAATAAATGTTAAAAAAACTTGTATTAATACTAAAATGCTTTTACTTAAAAGTTTAAGGAAATGACATTAAACATTTACTTAAAAGTTATTTAATTATTCATTTCTTAACATTGAGCTAAAGATAATTATATATCTCAAATAAACCACTAAATAAAGTAAAGAAAGAAATGAAAAAAAAAATTGCCCCAAAGCACTTTTCTTCTGTGATTAAAGTGACGCACCCAAAAGAACCCGATGATGAAGAAGAATAAAGCGAAGAGAACTATCAAAATCAACCTCCTCCAGCGAAAAAAATCAGTCTTTTCCGGTGAAGCAGAGCATGGTGACCATGAACGGATGTTCCTTGGGCCTGAGCTAGACTGAAGCTTAGGCCTATTAATTTTTTTTAGAGGAATTTACACTTCCTACTATCAAATATTATTTATATTACACTTATACAATCATTTTATTCTTATTTATAAAATAACTAAACCACCCCAAAATTATTACAATTATGCCTAATATCCCAGATGCAACAATACATATCAGTTATCACAGCTCTCTCTCTCTCTCTCTCTCTCTCTCTCTCTCTCTCTCCCTCTCTCTCTCTCTCTCTCTCTCTCTCTCTTTCTCTCTCCCCCCTCGTGTCATCTCTCTATGCTTCTTCTACAACTTTATGTTTATATTTTCTCTTCGCCTCTACAGTTAAAATTTTTCTGTCTTTTTCTTTTTAATGATCGATGGAACTCTGAGGCGAAATTTTCCTTCGCCGGGAAGGGCGAGGGAGCCGCCGCCGCCCGGGGTGTCGATTGGATGGCCTACCAACGGGATGCTGGTGGTATCTGTATCTGTCATGAATGATCCAGTGCATCCCAAGCCTAATCATTTGGAAGAGTTTTATGATGTCCTCAATTTCTGTCGGCATCCTCGTCGAGGGTTGCGGTGTCACCATGGTTGGGGGAATGGTTGGTTGGGTGTAGGAAAATTGATGTTTGGTTTGATTTTGTCATTATACAAATTAGTGTATGGTCATATGTACATCTTTACGATATGTGCAGTTATTGTACATATTAGTTTATGTTTGGTATATTAGTTATATACAAATTAGTTTGTGAATGGATGTTTGTTTTAGTTTTTCTGTATTCAAGATTTTATTTATAGTTTATGTTTGGTATATTTGAAGATTTTTTGGTTGAAAACGAAGTTGATATACTAATATACCTTGATTTTAATCAACTTTTTTTGTGGTATATTTGTGTAAATTTTGTTAACAAAAATATCGATTGCACCTCTACCATTTGTGTTGTATTGTAGTATTTGTACAGTATATGCTCGACTGTGACTATATATACTCCACAATCGTGCCTCGCTACGCTCGCTACGCTACGCTCGCAGGCATCAGCCTGCCTCCTTCCTTTGTCGATATATGAGCCATACCAACAGATCCCTAAAGACCACCAATTTAAACCTACTCACCAACTTGAAGGGGACATGGATAGATTTCAGAGGATGTCAGATCTTATTCTTGAGAGGGGTAGAGAGTGGGATAAAGATCTCATTTTTCAGTCTTTTAACCCTGATGATGCCCATTGTATTATCATAATACCTATTAGGCAAGTAGGAACTAGATATAAACTCGCCTAGAACTGGTAAAAAATGAAGATTATATTGTGATATCGACTTATGGTATCTCAGGGCTCAAAGATTGATGGTACATGATGATGCTAGAAGTAGAAACTTTAGAGAATTGATGAAAAGATGAAGATGGGAGGAAAAGTCAAACGGGTTGCTAAGTCTTGTAAGTCATTGAGGTAATTTGTGATGTATGTGGAGAGAATGAAGAAGACACGGACCATATATTATTTCATTGTCCTAAAGCTTTGAGATGTTGAAAATTGGATGAGATATATTAGAGTAGGCAAAATCGTCCACAATCCAATATCGAAAATCTGCCGCGGGGTGTCGTACTCGATGGTCACTGGCACTGGTTTGTCGGGCCTGTCGGCGGCTGCCAGTCGCTCAGCATCTCATCGCTCATCCTCGAGTGAGAGAGCTGCATAGCCTCCTTCTGTCGACTCAAAACCTACGATCAGCTCAAGCTCTACCTCTCAAGGCAGTTCTGCAAGTTGTCGATGAAGGGCTTCCCATACATTTTCTCGACGTAAGCACCAGCTTGTCGGGTACCTGACAATTGGTGGTCGGGTGGCAGTGGCGGAGAATGACGACGATATGTGGCGGGTGGAGGTGGCAGCAACGGTGGCGATGGAGGTGGTGGTGGAGTACGTGTGTCAGTGGTTGATGGTGGGGACGGTGGAGAACATAGAGGAGGTAGTGCCCGAATTGTGTGTGTGTGTGTGTGTGTGTGTGTGTGTGAGTGTGAGTGCATGTGAGTGCGTGAGAGAGAAAGTGAGGGTGGAAAGAGATGGGGTGGTAGTGGGATGAGTTGTGGTGGGGCCAATTGCAAGTTGTTGTATGCTTGTGTAAGGTCTAATTTACCCTTACTTATTGGTCAAAAGCGTATACGTTTGACCACAATATGTACACTTATTGACAAAATTGTCACCTTATGTCTGACTACCATTTCCTAAATTTGACTTGATTATGACCATTGGCCTGGTATGTTAGATCCATTAGTATAGATTTATTCTCGTTTCTTTCATTATACCCACTGTTCTAAAAATCAGCCTAGGCGTCGCCTAGGCGCTAGGCGGTGCCCGGGCGCCTCCGATTTGCACAAATCGGCAGAAAAAATCGGCCAGGCGACCCTAGGCGGGCTCGGCGGGCTTGGCGGCCAGGCGGTTAGGCGGCGCCTAGGCGGGCATATGCGAACCTAGGCGCTCCTAGGCGGGCTCGACGGTAATTTTTCATTTTTTTTTATTTTTTTATTTTTTTTAAATATTAATTACATTATTTTGTTCTCATGTTTTCTTTAAAATATATTAATGTGATTATTTGGACTTAGGTTTGTCGATTTATTATAAGTTAGATAATTTTATTTTGTAGATAGTTAAAATAAATAAAAAATAAGGTATTTAATATTGATTTCTAGGCCCCGACTAGGCGCTCTAGGCGCTAGGCGCTGGTCGAGCGCCAAGCGAGCACCTAGCTACTTTTAGATTACTGATTATACCTCATTCTCATTGGATATCACTTACACACACACACACACACACACACACACACACACACATATATATATATATATATATATATATATATATTGTGTTCGGTCGACTCGGTTATTTAGGACATTTGATGTTCAAAAAGTGACACCAACCAAATTAACCAAAAATTTTAAAACCAAAACTAAAACTAGTGACGGGATTGCGCGCTCGTCAAGTTGGATTATTCATGTCATTTTCTTCTTCACGGTTGAATGGCTTGTCATGTTGTCTTCCACTAAACACGGCCAAAACTCGGGTTGGGTCACAGACCGGCCTGCCGGGCTCGGAACCAATGACCCGGACCCGGCACAGACCTATACTCGTGTCCGGTCAATGGCCCGATTAACCGGGCCGAGTCCGTCTTATAAAAAAAAAATAATAGAAAAAAATAAAAAAGTCGCCTGGGTCGGGACGGGTCATGAAATGAATGACCCTAAAACGACCCGTCGGAAATTCGGTCCGGTCCCAAACTCGTGGTCAACGGGTTTGACCGGGCCAGGTCCGTGCTGAGTCCGGACCGAGTCGACGGACCGGGCAGTCTTTGACCATGTCTATCTTCCACATGATTTGCTAAGTTGTCTTTTGCTAATATTAGACCTTCTTCAACCGAAATACCCAAACTCAAACCCATTTTGCAGTAACTGTCACATTAAACAGTAATTCATCTCCAACCGAAAAACTCATTCTCAAACCCAAAAGAATATTCTCATTCACATAAGTTTTACAACTTTTCAATACTACCTACATGTTTAACAATTTTACAAATTAGACCCCTAATTGTTTTATATTCAATTGAAAAAATAATAAATTAATTTAAATAAATAATAAGTATTAATTAAAAATATTTAATACCTATTTTCGAGTAAGTAAAAAACTACAATATTCTTTATTTTAAATTTGAATAATGTTATAAAAAGTTTATATTATTTAAATTTATTATAAATATTTTCTTAAACTTTTCTAAAATTAATTCGAATTTTTTTAGGAATATTGTATAAATATTTTACAAGTACTTTCATAATTTTTTGATTCAAAGAAATATCTTAGAAATATTTTACAAATACTTTCATAATTTTTTTTATTAATATTTTATTTAATGCACACATTCTATATAAATATATAAATTAATTTGTATATATGAAATTCTTTTAATTTTTTTTGCAATGGCGTGTAAAATAAAAACATGTATAAATATAAATTAGAGACAAACAAATATATTTAGTAAACTAGTTTTTCATTATACTTTTATATATATTAAAATTTATATAAAAAAGTAATAAGTTATATGCAAATCATAAATATTGACAAATAAACTAAAACTTAATATTTCAAAATAAAAAGGCCAAAAGATAAATAAGAAAGAGATTTGCGTATATGTATAGTGAAAACGCATATATGCATTTGGGAGGAGAGAGAGAAAGTGACCAAAACTCATTTTGCGTTTGCGTTTAGGTATCGGTTGGAGCAATTTTTGGTATTGCGTTTGGTTTTGAGGTTCGGTTGGAATTGCTCTTAAAGGCAATTTCTTATGAAGGAATACACTCGCACTGTGAAATTCTTCACCCTATTTGATTAAGAACTCTACATTTTCTATCACGCTTCTCCCTTTGCTAGAATAATTAGTAGTTAGAGTATAAAGTAGTTAACAAGACCAAATATTACTATAAACTCAACAGTTGGCTCTATAGTGGAGTCAACCTTCTATATACAACAAGTAAACCACAATATATTAGTAAAGTTATTTGTGTTATCCGTTGGAAGTATAGTACGGAAAACTGACTTATTTATACATGAATAAAATACAAAGTTTCTAAATATGAATATGGTAAATAATGTCAACCTTTATTGGTCATAACAAGTGTTGTAATCGAACCGAACAAGTCGAGTTTCAGCGTTTTGAGCTCGTGTCATTTTACATTCGAACAATGTTCATGTTCGTTCGTTCATTTTTCGAGCAAAAAATTGTGTTCGAGCTCGTTCGTCAAAGTTCGAGTTCTAATAATTTAGAACATAAATTTTTAAATATATTTAACTCGAAATTTGTTCGTCGAACTCGAAAATAAATAAATATATATATATATTAAATTAATTCGTGTACGTGACCAAACGAGCTCGTGTTTGTTCAACACTAAACGAGTCTAATTTTATGTTTGAACTCGACTCGCTTAACAAACGAACGAGCTTTTGTCGAGCGCGAACGAGGTCGAACCAGCTTTTGTTCGCGAACTTCGATTCGCTAACAACCCTAGTCATAACTATATACAAACATTAATATTATTTCAAGGAAAAAATATTTTTATATCTCAAATAATAATAATAATAAATTGAAGGACAATGCTACTTGTACATTCTCCCTTTACACCTTGGTTTACATCCAAGGCGTGTATGTACACATTTACCCTTAATGCACAATTTAAATAAATTTTGCATTAAGGGTAAATGTGTACATACACGCCTTGGATGTAAACCAAGGTGTAAAGGGGGAATGAACAAAATAGCATTATTCTAATCATATTCGAAATATTATATCCTGGAATAACTTGGTGTAAATGTCCTTTATACAAGTTTGAGTTATGATACCACACTGTCACCCCTCCTCCCCAACACATACACCGGGTTGGACTAGAGTGTGACGCCAAACGATGAACAATCAACTGATGTTTAAATTATATATTAATAAGAAAGAAAATAAATATAAAATTTAAATTAAAATTAAATAAACTTAACCATGAAACTAAGTCTAAAAGTTATTTTATTATAAATATGATTTTAATATAAGATCAAAATTCTATTATTAATTAAATATACTACATTTTTCAAACTTAACTATAATTAACAAAAAAAAAAAAAATAAAGAAAAAAAAAATCAAAACCAAAGCACATATACATTTCTTTTCTTTCTCCGCAAGTCCAAAATCCCCCTAAAACCCTGTCCTCCTCCCAATTTCTCCACCGCCACTTTCGCCGCCGCGATTTACCGATTTGATTCTTTCTGGATATTTTGAAATTCCATTTTTGGAATTCAGCTTTTGTCCTTCGCAGCCATGTCCCTGAGCAGAATAACGAGCCGGGTCTCGAGGACCGTGCTAACTCAGTGCCGCAACTCGGCGCTCCTCATCGGCCGCCATGAAAACAATCACTTTCAAAATTCATCGAATATATTAATTTCCTCGCGTGGGCTAAGTGATAAGGTACTGTTTTAGGTTGCTCGAGATAGGTTCTTTCATGGGCTTTGGACCGTTTGAGGAGGGTTATTTCTGTTTTCTTTTCTTGCAGAGATTTGGTTACTAGTTTTACGAATTTATACTGTGTTGGAGACTAGTTGTTGTTCGCCTTTCTTAACTTCACTGTCTTTTTCTTTATAAAAAGACTTGTGCCTTTGTTGTACAAATTGGTGTTTGATGTACATTGGATTTCGGCAGTTGGCTCTCTAGAATGTGTCGTTTACCGAATGCAAAATCTCTACTTAAAAGTTTAATTATCTGTAGGGCATGAAGCTCCTATTTCAGTGTTGCAGAATAAACGACAAAACCCTAGGCCCTTGGCCATGAAGCTCCTATTAGTTGTTTTCTGCATCCCAGCGAGCTTTCGTTTCTATGATAAACGAACGGTCCAAAATTTGAAAGTTGAAAGTAGATGTAGATAGCTTTTTTCCTTATCAAGTTATAATTGAGTTTGGCCCAGTATTTGAATATGTATTGTGATTAATTTCAGGGTATTTGAGTAAGGTGACAAAGAATGTTTGCAAGTTTCTCGGGATATTTTTTACCGTGGATGTCTGATTAGTCAAGGGACTTGTGATAATAGACCTGATATCACTGACTTTGAAGTTTGAATTTCATATGAACAGTTTGATGATAGTTTTTGCGTCGTATAATTGAAGTTCTGCTATATCAGTTTAATTTGATTATTTGATGTCTGCATACCTCAAAAGGGGAGTTCATTGAATTCCATTTGCATTCTGTGTCTGTGGTTCTTATAACTAGGCATCTAGTTTGTGTACAACTTCCCATCGTAATTCTTCCCGATACTCCAATATTTCATTCTATTGGAAGAAAAGCTCTTTTTCAGTGTTATTCACTAGCAATTTGAATGATTTTTTTTTTTTTTATTAAATTCTGTTGCCGTCCGCTGTTCTGAACTAGTTTGAATTATACAGCTCTATTGCATAATTCAAGCATCAGTCGGGGCAATATAAAGTAATTTATTTTGAACTTTCTGTGATTAAATTTTGGCATCATAACTCAGAAAATTGATGTTATTAAAAAGATACTCTGTTTTCCATGTAGGTGGTACCTGGTCAGGTGTCATTGCTACACCATTCATCCCTGAAATCATCAGGCTTTCAGTGGTTCGGGTTCTCTTCATCCGCAAATTCACAGTCCAATGAAAAAGAGACAGTCCAGTCTACAAAGGATCAGGAAAATGGAGAGCCAGATGACGAAGCTGCTGCTGCTGCTGCAACTGATGATATTCCTCGAACTGAAGCGGTCGAAAATGCCGAATCAGGTCCTCAAATTAGTACTTCCGAGACTCCTAAGAGGAAAAGAGGTGCTAAACGAGTTGCGTTTTCTGATTCTGATTCAGATTTGGAGCCTGACCTCTCCAGGGATGACCTGGTAAAGCTCGTGGCCGAGAAGGAACAGCTTCTAGCCACAAAGCAGGAAGAGCTGGAGCAGGTGAAGGATACAGCCATGAGGTCATTGACTGAGATGGAAAACACAAAGGAGCGTGCCCTACGTGAAGCCGAAAGTGCCAAGAAATTTGCTATTCTGGTTTTGTATATTTTTCCCTTTTCTTTGATTTTGTCGTTACTAAATAGGGAGGTCTACTAATTGTTTTTATTAAGAAAGTGACATTCATTCATAAAAATTACAGTGGCGGACCCAGATGTGTTCATTTGTTACCATTCGCCACCTCAAGAAGGCGCTCTATAGATGAGTATAGATCTCAAGGGGGTGCTTGTAACACTATAAGGGGATATTTGTAACTTTGGCAGATAACAAAAGTTTTTTTGGTTTTGTAATTAGGCTGTACCTTATGTCCATTGCATATGGAGCTGGAAGTCATTGTTGACAATTCTCCTGGCATAGTGCTAATAATGGATTTGATCAAAATGACTCAATTAAATTCTAGTGCTTCTTCTATTAGTGAAGTTTCTAGAAAAAAGATATATCAAACGACGCAACGCACCTTGGGTCGCTGTGGAAACAGCCTCCTTGTATAATTACAAGGGTAAGGTCTGCGTACAACTGACCTCCCAGACCCCAACATGTTGGGAATATGCTGGGTATGTTGATGTTGATGTTGATGTAATTAGGCTGTACCTTAGGGATTGTTGTTACAGTTACCCTCATTCGTATCTTACTTGAGTCATTACTGAACTGTCTTATTTGACATGTGATGCAGAACTTTGCTAAAAGCCTTTTGGATGTAGCGGATAATCTGGGTAGGGCTTCTTCTGCTGCAAAAGAGAGTTTCTCAAAAGTGGATGTGTCTAAGGATGCATCTGTAGCCACTCAACAGCTCAAAACACTTCTTGCAGGTGTTGAAATGACTGAAAAACAACTGAACGAGGTACTATAGTTTTTGGGTTCCTCTTTTTTCAATTGTATTTCGTGTGTGGACCAATATTTCATATGATGTGCATGAGCTTGAAGTCATCTTGCAAGCGAGTATAGTTGGGAGGATCCATCATTAATATATGGAATATCTTGCTGCCAAAATATGGTAGTATTGACCTATGTTGGTAAGACTCTATAGGTGTTTCGAGGTTCAGTATTTTGACATAATCTTTATTTATATAAAAAGTTAAGCAATAATGAACTAAAATTTCTAAATTTGGTAAACTTGCACCTTATCATTTTTTCTGCTTTTTGGGATATTTGTTTTTTCATTTTTATTTGGGGGAAATTTGATAAATTCTACCTTATCACGTACACTACCTTATCATCTCATAATAAGAATAATATCAATGAATATCATACATGTGTAGATTGTTAATTGATGCATCTAATTTACCCCATATGCAGGTATTTAGAAAGTTTGGGCTAGAAAAATACGACCCGGTAGATGAAGAATTTGACCCAAACAGGCATAATGCCGTGTTCCAAGTTCCGGATCCTTCCAAGCCAGCCGACCGTGTTGCAGTTGTTCTAAAGGTATCTGAGAGGGCAAAAAGGGGGTCATATACGTGCAGCCCGTTTCTTTACAATTTACAATTCTTTACATATGATTTCACTTCATTGATTAAAAAAAAAAATCCCTTTTTTTTTTTTTTTTAACCAAATAAATAAATATATCAATCAAACCACCATATTGATATTTGGTTGCAAATTACCTTATTGGTCCATCAGTCGATTGGCATTGTTAAATATAAATTAGAATTTATATATACGTATATTGCTTTTGTTCATTATCAGGCTGGATATATTCTGCACGATCGAGTTATAAGGCCAGCTGAAGTTGGCGTAACAGTGGCAGCAAACAGTGAGGAGGGTGAGAAGGCATCTGAGGACTGAGGCAACACCAACCGAATTACTTACGTACAATGATGGTTCGATTTTCGGCTACTAAACTTATCTTTAGTTTGGATAAAAGCCTTGAGTTGCTCATGGGTATCAGTAGGGAGGATTAGAAGTATGAGCTTTTCCTACCTATGATCTGTTTATTGTTCTTTCTCAGTTGATCTTTTCAGAAAGACTCATACTGGTTAAAATTTTTGGGTTTTCTAGGTTATAATTTGTTCTTGTTGCTGGCCACTGGAAGTGTGTTAATAAAAATGCATGCATGTTATTGGTGGCACCATAAATGCTACGGGTCGGTTGTGTTGCATCACTTATGGAAGAACATTTACTGTGACATAATAATTATCTTTTGACAGTAATGCTCTCCTACCCACGGTGGGCACATGTTAATATGTCCACCGTTTATGTGGCATACACACATTGGTGATGTATTTTCTTTAACATATTAACATCACCAATGTGTGCATGCCACATGAGCGGTGGGCATATTAACATGTGCCCACCGTGGGTAGGGGAGCATTACTCTATCTTTTGGTGTCTAATTTATGTCTGAAAAGATAGAAATTTTGGTTAGTATTGTGGGATTTTAACACATTGAAGGGCTGAAATAAGGTTAGTGTACTGTGGAGTACAACACCCCCTACCTATTACACTGTGCTAATAAGAAAGTCTATTATTATTTTTTTATTCTGTAAAAGAAAAGTTTTTGTTTTTGTTTCAAGTTACAAATAATTTTCAGATAATTGAATTAATATGTATATTTAAATTGACAATGCTATTTAGCAAGCTCAAAAGATTAATTTCTTTAATTGATAAATACTTTTATCATTTTTCAACTAATATTGATGAATAATTTGTATTTTGTTATAAAGGTAAAATATATATTTATTTATGCATTGTGGATTTGAAATTGAACCTCGTCATGATTTAGTTACTATATCATATAAAAATAATTATTACAAATACAGAAAATATTAACTTTGAAATATAATTGTTAGCCAAAGTTTGTACAATTTTAAACTTGTAAGAGCATTCATTATAGTTTTTAATAGAAGTTGTGTTTGGTTGCTCTTTTTTTTTTTCTTTTTTTTTTT